CTTTAATTGTTGTCTGGTTTCTTTGTTTCTATTATGTTAGCTAAGAAATAATAATTGTACCAAAAGAAATGGCTCGGACCGGAGGTACAAACACCCAGTGACACAAAGAGATAACACGCAGTGAGGATCGCCCGGAGACAGGTCCCAGAAACCCCGATCAGCCCACAGGTTCGGTTATATTAGGCCCTCCGATAACGGCTGGGATGGGGCTTTAAAACAACAACAAAATTTCGTCCAACATGGGATGATGTTAGCTAATTTCTTTGCGAAGGGACATAACCTAATAATTTATAGACATGTAGTTTTGCGAGAGTAGGAAATTTGATTTTCAAATTTACATATTAATCAGCAATGTATTTAATTCTCAATGATAAGCATACTTATTTCGGCATGAATTATTCAAATATGACACGCAATATAAAAGCTGATAGATGCCTACCTGCTGTGTATTGACGAAATATTAAGTATTTTACGCCTAGAACCCTGCAAATGGAAAGCTGTAACCGTAGTCAAACTTTCGCAAAAAGTTATCCAATTTCGTCATTTTTAGGACGAAATTTTTTGTCATTTGAAGCCCTACTCTGGCTTTTGCCAGGGGCCGCAATATAGGCAGGCCATATATATATGGCCAAATGTCTGAACGCGGTTTCTGGGACCTCTCCACGGCGATCCTCATCCACATGGTGGCACATTGTGTCATCGGGTGTTGATCGCTTGTGTGATGTCCTGGTGGGGTAGAAATTCAGTTCAGTTCAAACTTTTGCAACTCTTGTACCTTGGAAAGTTTCCCTAGAAGGGGAAGTAGCTACCTCGAGCGAAACCCTAAAGATTCAGAATAAGTTAATGAGTGCGGATGTCCAAGAAAATTCACACACGGTACATGTAAATATAAACTGTTCCTTTGCTGGTTACGGGGCGAAAGAAGCTGAGTTTACATGACACATGGATGTCAGAACAAGTAGTCCTTTGCACAAGATTATAATTATGAATTCTTTACGATCTAACACTGCCATTAATTAACAAATCATCCTAATATTATTCTTGAAATTACATCTTTATATACTTTCCGTCCTTTTAAGGATGACATTTTTCGTTTTTTGAAAATATCTCTAAATGATGATAGTGCCCTACGGCAGGAACAATTTAGCCTTTTTTTTTTACTTCTATGAATGACCAACTCGACACCCCTTACATGTGTGCCTCTACTTCTTTCCTGTTATCTGTGAGTACCAATAATTGTTGGCACTTTTCTATTCTTCCAGACTATAAGAAGGCATAGGCATCACAGCCAATGGCGACGATAAGTGTGAGTAGAAGACCTGCTCTGGTTAATATAAATTATGTCACTGTTAGAGCATGATGCTCAGCTCATAAACCTATTTGCAATAATTTTCTTCTTTATCCCTAATCTCTTCCTGACCTTCCCCCTCCATGCAACATGGTCCACAGCATATTGTTCTCATCATCATCATGTGCCCTGCCAACTGGTGTAGGCGCTCATGCGTCTCCACAGATCACGATCCCTGGCTGCCTGGAACAGCTTTCTTGATGATATCCCTCTATGCCATTGTTTCAGGCCATCCAGCATTATCTCTTTTGGTCTGCCTCTGCCCCTTTTTCTACTGATCTTTCCAGTTGTCATGATGTTCTCCAGTGTCTCTCCTCATATTGTGTGGCCAATGAACAGTGTTTGTGTCTTATTGTGGTATATAGAGATCTACTTTCATTAGCTTCTTTCAAGCAATCGTTGTTAGTTACTCTAGCCGTCCAAGGTATTAGTAACATTCGTCTTAGAAACCACATCTCTGTTGCTTCCAAATTCTTCTTAATTTGTTCAGTGACATTCCAAGATTCACTGCCTTACAGCAGAACAGGTTCTATGTAACACTTTAGCACCCTCTTTCTGACATTAATTTTCTGAAATGCAGCTTTTGCTTGACCTATTCTGCTTTTAATCTGTCACACATTTTCCATCTGATATGATTGTACCCAGATATTTAAATTTATTGACTTGGTTAAGTCTTTTCCCTTCAATTGAGATATCACAACGTGGAATTATCTTCTTCTTTGATATAACTATTACTTCCATTTTCTTAATATTCAACGAAAGTCCTTTCTTAGCACTCTCCATCCCCACAATATCCAGCCGTTGTTGTAAATCATTTGCATTTTTAGCTACCAAAACTAATCGTCTGCATAACGCAAATTGTTTATATTGTATCCTCCAACTCTTACTCCTGCATTCTCTTTAATTTCCCTCAAAATTATTTCACAATACAGAGAGAAAAGGTCTGGGGATAAGACACACCCCTGTTCTCATTTTAAAAAAATCAAAACTTAGTTGCATGTTCTTTGCAGGTCATTACAGAACCAACCCCAGTATTTTTTGGTGGCTGTTGTGGTGTTTCCAGGCAATTTGCATTCAGCAGTTTGCCATTGCTTCTCAATGGTCAGCTCTTGATACCACTGTTGAAACCAATGCAAGGCAGACTGCTGCCAAATCGCTTGCAGCTGGGATGGAACTCAGCATTGCAAAGTGTGTTCTTTTTTTTTTAACATAGTAGAGGCGGTCAATCAAGTGTGCCAGTCATGACCACTTGTTCAACATGCTGTTTCTATGATACCAGCGGCTTCCCAGCCATGACACCTTCCTTTCTCACACACAAATGAAACAAATAACTACCGTTTAAAGAATATCCATGCTGAAATTTGGAATGATAGAAAACCTAAAACTTTATTTGGTATCAACAACGCTAATAATAAAACAACAAAGAGCTCAACCAACTGCTCCCAAACACAAATGTCACAAATTCTCAGATCATCCGAAAAGCTGAAATAATGTTGTTATACAGACTACAGGCAGGTACTACATGTTTTCAATTTTAAAAGAGGAAGAACTAAAAGTTATCCACTCTGGTTATATTAAAACATTTGGCTGCAATGTGTGTCTGCTGAACAACTGACGCTTTCAGTTTTCTGGGATTCTCGAGGGCCAGTACTGGAACACTGCAGTAAAACCTTGTTAACAAGAATTCCAAGCAAACATCAAGAGTTCATGTTGAAAAATGTTTGTTTACCAGGGATTCATTGATGTATTATGGAAAAGTGGTATCTCCCTACTGACCAAGCTAAAGGACTACAAAGCTGCAATTCTTCAGGACCGTTCTATGCTTGCAAAACGTGGACTGTGTATCAGCGCCATGCTAAAAAGTTGAATCAATTTCATATAACTTGTCTCAGAAATCAAATGGCATGATAAGATCCCAAATATTGTGGTTGTTGATAGGGCAAACCTGCCTAGCATCCACACGACACTGAAGAATTATCAGCTGCGTTTGGCTGGTCACCTAGCTCACATGCCAGACTATCGCCTCCCAAATATTTTATGGGGAGTTCCAGCAAAGGAAGGTCCAGGGAGGACAGAAAAAGCGCTATAAAGACACTCTCAAAACTGCTTTCAATTCTTTTGCATCAACACAGCGACGTGGGAGGCTGCTGAACTAGATTGTTCTGGATGGCGTATATCCCTCAGGCATGCTGCACCAGCCTGACAGGGAGCGGAGGCTGCACAGGCAGAGAAACGGAGGTAGACACGAAAGAACCGTATCGCTAATCCAGCACTTACTGTGGCTTCCACATGTTGTCCGCACTACTCAAGAACTTTCCGGGCTCATATTGGACTAATCGGCCATCTTCGTACTCATAATCACTGATTATGACTACTTTGGATTAAAAGTGGTCTTCATCACTTGTGATGGGTGAACAACATGGAAAATATATCCCTGCTGGAACCAACATTTTTTCAGGTTTACAGTGTTCCATATAAAGCACGTTTAGGTTAATGAAGTTTTATTGCATCAGGAAAAAACAGCTTAATAGTTATTGTTACAATGAGATGCTCACTAAACAGCTGAAGACTAAACTTCAGATGAAATGCAAAGGACTGCTATAAAAAGGTATTGTGATCTTGCATGACAGGATATGTCTGTATGCCTCTGGTTGCACCACTGACTTTCTGCAAAAGTCTCTTTCTGAAGTATTAAAACATCCTTCCTATTCATCTGATCTTGTCCATTCACTTTAACATGGGGGAAGGGGGGCGTTAAAGCGGAGGTCTTTGTTGGTTTCAACTGTTGCACGGGAAGTGTAGGGTCGAGAACTGTTGTGATGCAAAAAGGCACCTTTACTCAGAAGTCAACATCGTCTGGATTTGACTGCAGGTCGAAGATGAATCTTGAGAAGATTGGTGTATATGTCACTGGTGACTTTTTCCCTTTTGGCACGTAGAGCTCTAAAATGCCAAAGAAATCAGCATAACCTTCCCTGCAGCTGACTGCATGTGAGACTTCTATGTTTCACGGGGGGATTGGTACCATTCCTTGCTCGCCATCTTCATTTCCAGCTCATTTTAATGAACTGTAGGTTTAAACTCCAGTAACAATTCTTGATAAAAACCATCACCTTATGCTTCAGGGCCTTGCAAAGGTTCTTGACAAACATCAGTATTGTTTTAATTCTGGAGTAAGCTGCTGTGGCACCCACTCTGCAGTACTGCAGCGCATCATGGATGATGTGGTGTGTTCAGCCTTGACTGATGTCGAAATGTACGGCAATGTCACTAAAAGTCACTCTATGGTTTTCCTTACGACTTCTACATCTGCACTTGACTCTGTGGTCACTACTCAGAAGTGTGCCTAACCTGGTCATAAACAGTCTACCACAGAAGTCACGCCAATCTGAAACTTGGTACTCAACTCGTATACATGCTAGACTGACACTCATGCATCACCGTATTGGACTTCATTCTCTGATGAATTTCTAAAGGTTTCACACCTCCTCTGATAAACATTCAAACAAAAACAGATAACAGAATGCTGCTCATTTCACTTGAAGCCCCCTTGTAAAGCAAAGTGGACAAATTCTCCCTAGTTCACAGCTGGAAGCAACTTGGAATCACAGGATGGTAGATAAATGCCTGCTTTAGATTTATAAACAAATGGCTAATGATGTGCTGCTGCTCTCTCCCTTGCTATTGCATTCTCTACAACAGTCTTCAGTAAAGTATTGCTAGAAGGGACCTCAACCTGCAAAATAATAAAATATTCCATCATATAAGATATCTGTTTTCTAATGGAACAGTTGACTAAACTATTCCCAACACATGAAGTAAAGTTTTTTTTTTTCTAAAAGGATCATTTCTACGTCTCTGGTATATTGAGCATATGGTGCTAGACAAAAATTTTATAGACCAATTAGCACTCAATGGGTAATGAACATGCTGGTCACCTTTACTTTCCAGACCATATCCTGTCACTCACTCAGGTTAGCCTCACAGTCAACGGCTGTTTTGCTTCAAGTTGGCTATTAAAAAATTTTTTTTAAAAAGGCAATGGAAAACTATTGAATATAAAATCTGCCTAGTTATACCATCATCATGTACCCTGCTAGGCGGTTTAAGAACCCGTGTCTCTGACACAGATCTAGGTCCTTGGTATTTTGAATCACATCTAGCGATGATACTCCTTCATGCCATCAAGCATTTCTTCTCTTGGTCTGCCTTTTCTATCACTGACCTTTCCAGTCATCCCGATGTTCTTCAATGCCTCTCTTCTCATCACATGACCAAAGAACACCGACTGATATAGTTTTCTAATTTCATAAGCCATTTCCTGGTAGTCACTGTTAGTCTCTCTGGCTGTCCACAGTATTCGCAACATGCATCTCAGAAACTACATCTCCACTGCCTCAAAGTTCCTCTGAATCTGTTCATTCTCATTCCAAGATTCATGGCCATACAGCAGCACTGGCAAAACCCTGCATTTGAAAAAAAAAAAAATGACATTGGCTCCAAGGTTAGGTTGACCTCACCTTGATTGGGTACCAGGTGCAGCGCTGGGAAGTAAAGGCAGCCAGCGTGATGCTGACTACATTACCCACCCAGTGCCGACTGGTCTAAAAGATATAGGTCTAACCCTGTATGAAGGCGTAGAAAACGTTGGGGTTTTTTTATGAGAGAGACTTGTATAAAACTATTTACACCACACACAATATATGTTGTATTTGCTTTGTGACATCTTGTAACTCTTTAAAGATAGTTAAAAGATAGATAATCTGACATGAAAACAAAATTTAGCCAAACTATTTTACTAGTACTGGAAAAGCATAGGGAAATCAATATGTACAACTTTTCATAATGAAAACAGAATACCAACATAGAACAAACACAACCATAAATGACGACATGTACAAACAAAAATGAACAGATGAGGGGGAAAAAATGCCAAATTATGATTTTATCATGTGATATACAATGTTCTTCTTCCCCTTTAGGTGCAGGACGTGTGGGTGGCACTAGTAGTCGTGTCTATCCACAAGCTTCTGTCTCGTGTACTTTCAATCAACTCTAATACAGACGATCCTCCATGCCATGATGTCAAACTGTCCAGCATCTTTTCTTTCAGTCTCCCTCTGCCTCTCCTCCCCTCCAACTTTCCCGATGTACTCTAGTTTTCCCCTTCTCATCATACGACCAAGAAATGTAGACTGTATCTTTCTGATGTAGACAATCAGTTCTCTTCCTGAGTCAGTTTCTTTCAAGACATCTTCATTACTTTTTTTTTTAATCTTTGCAGTGTATTCTCATTATTCGCCTAAAAAAAAGCCACATCTCTGCAGCTTCCAAATAATTTTACACCAACCTACTAACTATCAATGATTCTCTTCCTCATATCAAGATAGGATTCAGATAGCTTTTAAGAATTCTCTTTCTCATCTCAGTTGAGAAGATTGCATAAAATATTCTTTGTTTTGTAAAATGCTACCTTTGCTCAAGCTACTCTACATTTAACTTCTCTAACACATCTTCCATCTGATGTTATTAGGGTACCCAAGTACTTAAACATATCACCTCGCTTGAGGTTTGTCCCATTAACTTTGATGTTGCATTTTGGAGTGTCAATTTTCTTTGTAATTACTATTACTTCTGTTTTTCTGCTGTGTAAACTTAGATTCTTGTTTTCACTTTCTGTTACAACTATATCCACCATCTCCTGCAGTTGTGTTTTATTTTCAGCGATCAAAACTATATCGCAGGTTGTTAACAATATGCCCACCAACTGATATTCCTGACATACCATACATGGATCTAAGTATTATTTCACTGTTAGGTTAGTTGTGTATCCTTTACAGGAAGTTGCAGAACCAACCCCAACAGCCCCTGGCTGTTGTGTGGTTTTTCTAGGCAAATTTACATCCAGTAGTTTGTCATTGCTTTCTTGACGGTCGTCTTTATTGATATCACTGTCGAAACCAACACAAGGTGCATGGCCTGCAGCTGGGATCGATCCCGGCACCCCGGCATTACAAAGCGTTCGCATCGACTTAGCCACAGAGCTGACTTTTTTCACTGTAAAAACTGAAAAAAAACGGGTGAGAGTACAACTTTAATATATATTTCATAAACTTTTTTTTACACTCGACAGACCTGAAGTGGTCTTTCAAATATGCAGGAATTGTTCATTTCAATAACAGCCTGAATGACATCATACACTGTAGTCAGGTACAGAAATGCCTTGGTACTGTGGAAGAGATAAACATTACAAAGGCTGCATGAGTATTTTTTATATAACTTTGTTGGCTTTTATTTTGGTTTTAATTTCCACCTTCAAAGAGTGCACTCTGACAGGCTCACAGCCATATTTGTTGTCTGCATTCACCGGCTGTGAACTTCAGCGGAAAGTTGTGTCTGTCTGCTTCTGGACTTTAGTCTTATTCCAGAACTGGAGTCTTATGTGCACATCTATTTTACAGATCTGGCATATTCATACTGTTGATTTCTCCAGACTTTGAAGGATTAGAAGGAAACACCCCTAATTAGTCTTCTTTAATGACATAATTGCTGGGGGAGGGGGAGATGGGTGGGGTGACTTATAATTGAGTGCTAATCAGTCTATACAAATATGGAGCCACTTGAATATGCTTAAAATCCTTTAACTCCGATAAACATAAGTCCTGATGCTTCCAGTTTGTGCCATGGTTTCATAAATGTCAATTTCCAGGCTTGCTATAGAGGCCTGTTTATGAGTAGCTAATAGCATAGCTTCAGTTTTTTTCTAGGCGACTATTTAAAATGACTGGTACTGAGCATATCTCTAAAAAAAAAATACATTAAGGTGAGGTTTCCTTGTAGAAAATTGCATTATTTAGAATAAAAACATCAGATTTTTCTGTTAAAAGTGATAACATTTTTGTAAAGCTCAGAGAGATGTAATCCAGTAATTCTCTGCCCCTATTATATTTGATTACACCCATTATTTTGCATGCAATCAAACACTGTTTTTTTTTTGGGCCACAAATAGAATTATGCTTCTTTTTGTGACCTGTGTAAAATGTTTGTTTGTAGGAATATCTTTTTCGGAAAAAAATAAAATTAAAAAAAATACTGAGCTTTGGCAAGTCACTGGGCCGAAAATAACACTCCTTAATGTGTGGGAAAAGCGCATTTCAATTGTGTGTGTAAACAAATGAACTGTAGCAATTCAATCAGCGAAAAAAGTTGGAAAAACCCAGACAGACATATTTTAACCTTTAAAGAAAAAGAAACAAGTCATGAAAAATTGTAAATAAGGCAACATGACGGGTGGAAACTGTTGAATAATGTGGGTAGAAATGAAACACAGCTATTCAAGAAGATGAAAAGTTGTAAATAAGGCAACCTGACTGGTGGAAACATGAATAATGTAGGTAGGAATGAAACACAGCTATTCAAGAAGATGAAAAGTTGTAAATAAGGCAACCTGACTGGTGGAAACATGAATAATGTAGGTAGGAATGAAACACAGCTATTCAAGAAGATGAAAAGTTGCAACTAAGGCAACCTGTCTGGTGGAAAATTTAAAAATGTAGGTAGGAATGAACACAGCTATTCAAGAAGTGTACAAAATTTACATTACAAAAATAAATACATACAAAATAAAAGAAAGGAAGAGCCATGAGAGGGTGTTGTAGATTAAACATTCTAGTGAAAGAAAAATAGAGAAGAATCAAACCACTTACCATCCTGGCCCATTGCCATTATTCACCATGCAGACGTCAAGAATGTGATACTTATCAAAGGCACTTCGCAGGACACTCTGATAATGAAAAACATTAAACATGGAAAAGAAAAATGAAAACATTAACATATGCTGCAGGCAACCAAAAAAAAATAGATTGCGCAATTTATTGCATGACATATTTCACTGTATCTAGTCAGGTGCATTAATTACTAGAGTTACATCAACATATGATGATGCCCAAAAATTAATCCTTTTCACTTAATTGCACAAACATCAAAGTATGCCAGGCAATAAATTGTGCAATGTGTTGTTTATGCCCACTTTCTTTAAATTTACATTGGAAAAATAAGTTTTGAACTAATGTATAATATGATAAATCACACACTGTTGCCAGAAAAAAAAAAAATTACATTTGAGAAAATGAAAACATTAATATATGAAGTGATAAATCACCCAATGGTGTAAGGAAAAAATATATATCAGAAAAGGGAAAACAATACATGAAGTGATCAATCACCAAATGATGTCGTGGACAAATATTATTTATCAGAAAAGGAAAAATAATATATGAAGTGATAAACCACCTAATGTTGGTACTGTAAAAATAGATACTTGGATCTGTTAGTAACTTCTGCTACTGTCTATGATGAACTGCATTTTTAATGCCGGACTGTTTGTGTTAGCACTTCTGATGGCTACTGTATGCTTTTAATGCATGTGTATGCTAGTGCATTTGCTGAGACAGCTGTCAATCTTTCCACAAGGAACTGTGATAAACATTCTGTGTGCTTTTCGTTGGCAAGGAGCGGAGCAACGATGGGGTGACCCGTTTGCTATGAAGCTGAAACCAAGATTACCAAGATACTTAGAAAGAAAGGCCTGTGTTTATTTCAAGAGTGAGAAAAAACACAGAAGAAGGTTTTACCATTAGCTAGAATTTCCAACTTCTTCTACCCTCTATCCACAACTGGAGCATACGCCCTCAATTAATTAATGCCAAAGCCTCCTGCTTTTATTACCATTATGAGGCTGGTTGGAGCATTGTATTTTACAAATAGGCTGCAATATCAGCTTCTTTTGACCCAACACATTTTCAGCAAATCCGCAATAAGCTGCTTTTATGACACACGCTTGTTAAGGGGTATACAATAAACAAATATCCAGGAACTGATCAGCACCCATAGAAACAAGTAGACAGATAAGAGGACACAATAGACAACGTAAAAATCGAAAGCTATGGTTACAATACCCGGAATCAAACCTGTCACCTCCTAGTGATGAAGTGCCTCGATGCAGAAGTGTACAAATATGCACGGCCACTTTACACCCTTAACAAAGGTCTCACTATTAGCCAGGTATATCATACAGCTTGAATCCACAACTAAGGAATACAGACACAACTCACTTCACCCCACTGAAGTAGCACCACAGGTTACAAAATGTATTTATATTAACCAAGCATAGGTCAAATGCAGTGTGTCTTTCACCACCACCCACTCCTACCCCCTCCCCCATGGAGCCTAGAACTAAAATAGGGAAGATATAATATTCCTTCCCACTGCGCATAGCTCAACCAACATATCTGCCATGTTATCCATTAGTCTAATCTCTTCTGCATGCACTTTTAGTCTGTTTGAACCTAAAGAAATGTACAAGATTAAGGATCCATTGTCTCATACAGTAAAACCTTGTTAACCTGAACTCGCTTAAGAAGAAAACTCAGTTAAAACGTACACAATTGTGGCACCAGCAGAAATGAATTATTATTTGCCCCAGTGTGCAAAAAAAAAAATTTTTGCACACACTCTGGATCTTTTCAATCTCTTGGATTTTGTGTTAATACGGTTTTACTGAATCACTTTTTTTAAAAAACCATAACACTAATAAAACCTTACCACAAGAGTATTACAAGGGAAATTTGCAACATAAATAGAGCAATCCAGCTGAAACCTGTCTTTGTCGGGTCCTAAAGCTGATGCAGACATAAGTGGAGGCATTTCTGTTGATTTCTTTTTCTGCTCCTGAAAACACAAAATGACATTTCAGCTAAAGAACCACCTGAATATTATCACTGACTATATCTCAATCATAAAAACTTTCTCCAACATCTGCTTTCTACTGAGGTAAACTATCAGCTAAATAAAGTAAACCATCACACAAACTTTTCAAACAATTATACTGAAGTGCCTGTTTTAATAATTCTTTTTCACTGAATCTACAAAATCAGTAGAGAAAAAAAATTTTTTTTGGCCTGGAGAGAATGAGGCACATGGGTGTAACCAGAGGGTCTGGCCGGCTCACTACACTCAGAGAAAAGGCAAGACGGACATATACCCAGATTGTGACAGATACCATCAGTATTGGAACTCTGCGCTGGCGGCTGAAGATGAAAAGGGAGCATGCATAGGAATGCCCTGAGTGCTGTGATATCAATTCTTTACTCAACTAAACTCAACTCTTCTTCACTATCACTGGCTGTAAACTCTAGTGGAAAGTTCTGGTTGTCCATCCTCTTTTGGACTTCTTCCTCCAAAAACCTGAGTTTTGTGTGCACATTCATTTTTACAGACCTAACTGATTTGTATGCAGACTGTTGGTTCATCACTTCTCAGGCAGATGTACTCCGACTTTGAGGGAAACATCCCTAGTCAGTCGACTCTTACGACATACTTGTGGGGAGGAGGGGCGGAGCAGTTGGTCTATTCTTTTTTTTTTTCTCCCACAATGGGGACGCCGTAACCCACACTAGAATTCTAATAATTCATTACAACTTTGTGTGTCCCTGGCATGGAGATGTTCACAACTTTATCTCTAGTGTCAGTGTCACATTGTCTGTGTAGAGACATGAATGTTCTTTGCAACAGATTACAATTTCTTTCTGTGAGTTCAGTCCTCACACAGGATGTGTTGTTCCAGCATCTGTACCCATAGAGCTATCCTCTGCCTGATGGCCATTTCCAAAACCTCAAAACGTGCCAAAGATATTCATTGCTGAGAAGCCTTAGAGAGTATTATGAATGGGGTTGGGGTGTGGGGGAAGCTCTCCACACTGAAGACTGGCTGAAGTGCATCAGCTATGGCTCATGAAATATGCAGTGAAGCCCTCATCTATTTCTACTGTGTGATTCTCGTACCACTTGTGATAGCCACAAGAATGATCTATTATTATATGATTGATTGATGACTTTCCAGACAAAAGTGTCATATTGTGCTATGAGGAGACGGGGAACTCACAGCTCATGGCGATGGCGAGTAGAACTAGCAAGACCCACCCACGTTAAGAAAAGTCTTCCACAATTATAACATAGGATTTCAGGACTGTGTCAACATTTGTATTTCGTCTGTTTCTTCTAAGATGTTCAGCTCTCATCCTTCATGCAATAATTTTGCCCTTTATTTTCATTCCCTTCCTGATGTGCCCTCTCCACACGTCACGGTCCATTGCATTTTGTTCTGAGTGCTCCTCAATACCTGTATTATTCATGTCCTGCTTGCACACATCTTTATATCACAGCAGAGGTTGGCTTCAACATCTTTTAAACATCTTTAATGTACCAAAGAGGATGTCCTTTTGAACTCTGCCATCCTCCATGTGTGACACAGCCACCTGAGCCTTCGTAGACTGAACATTGATAAGACTGTTGTAATACCAGCTCTTTCCAACATCTCAGTGTTTGTGATCTTGTCCTGCCACGTAATGCAAGTATTATTCTTAGGTATCACATGTGAAAGCTATTTTGCTGTTTCTCCTAGTGTGAATAAGCTGACCAAGAGTGCTGAGAACACAAGCCTAATAGACAAGAGTTTTTGTTTTCATCATGAGCTTTCTGTTCTCAGAAACTCTTTTTGTTAATCTGCTCGTTGTTGTTGCTGCCTTACCTATCTCGATGTTGATTTCTTGGTCCAGTGAAAGTTATTCACTATGGATAGGTAAAGTTGTCATATCCAGCTCTTCACTACCAGTGTAGACTGCAGGTCTGTCATTAACGCCTTGCACCATAACCTTTGTCTTCTTTGTGCTGATTGTTAGTCCAAATTCACAACATGCATGAGCAATTGCAGACAGTAAACATTATTATAGCTCCTCCTTTGAGTGGGTGGTTATGGTTATATAATCTGTCTGCAAACAGCAGCTCTCGAATAAGTACCTTTCTTATCCTGGTTTTGGCCTTCAGCCTACCAGCATTGTAAAGGCTGCCGTCAGATCAAGAATGGATGTATATACCACCCTCCTTATCTCGAAAGGATTGTTTAAAAAGAAGTAGATTCCAAAGAGGGTAGGAGCAAGTACACATCCCTGCTTCACACTCCATTATATCATACAAGCATTTATAACGTATGAAAGTAAATACAACTTACCATGACTCTGTGAGAGTCTTGTTGAGATTCAAAACTACTCTCCCCTAAAAATGTAAACAATTAGAGAGTTATTTCAAATGTGAATAAAAGACCATCATGTCTACAGTAATAAGTGTACCTTTCTGTAGCTACTCTTTTTGTTCACATACTTTAAGATTTATTTTCATCTTCTGGCCCTGTAAGACCCCTGACCAAGAATTGCCGCTCATTACAAATTCCCGAAAAACTAGCATTGTTCCAGTGGCCTGTGCCCTAAAAACCTAGTTAACAGCACTGGTTCTGTCTATAACTGCAGTGTTTAGGAGGACTGGACATGGTTATATTTACTATTACAATTTTTTTTTTAAAGCATTTGGGGAGGAGGCTGACAGGTAATCTACTGAATTCTCCATTCCGTTCAAATTCCCCTGCGTATATTTGAAAGATAAAAAAATCTGAACATGTGAACATTAATTTATTAGTGACCTATGCAAAACAAATGCTTTTTTCTTTTAAAGAATTGGGGGGGGGGGGGGGGGGGGAGACTCCTCGGATTGAAGGCTTTTGTCTTAAAGGGTTTCCTGGGTAAAGGGCTAGGAATTATCAACTGGGCTTACACCAAATATCCCCCTGGCACCCCTGACTTAGGCATTTCGACCGCTGCCATATTCAAGCAAAAAGACACAAAACCAGTATGTCTATGGTAACCTGTTTCTGAGACGGGTAGTTTAATGTCACTGGTGCTGTTTGCACCTGCGCAGCATTTAGGAGGTCCATACATTATCATATTTACTAAAAATAGCATCAAGTGTTTTTTTGTGTGTGTGATGCTTTTTCTTTTTTAAAGCCATAGTGACATCATGTTATCCCCGTAGCCTCTATGATAGAGATCATGGCACAAGTGACCTGATATATAAATTTTTTTTGTCCTGGTGAAATGTATTCCATTTAATACTTCACTCCGTTCATGTTTATTTATTATGCCCTTTGTACATTTCCACAACAAAACTTTTTTTTAAATGTTGACAAATAATTTATTTTTTAAATGTTTTAATGACTGGTAAAATATATGTTTTTTAAAATACTTTTGGGCAATTCCCATAGGTTTATGCCCCTTTTTGAGTGTTCTTGAAGCGAAAGGGTTAATAGTAGATGCCCTGCCATTCTTTATAGGCTATCTTGAGAAATAAAATGGAATATTATTTTAATGAGACTTGATAAGTGTTAATAGCAGTCTTCCACTGATACACAAAACAAAATCACAGTGAATTCTTACTAACCTGAAGCTGAATCTTTGTCACCTCTAAAATCCCGTTTGGCAAAATTAACATATAACCGCTTTGTCTTCTGCTGCTTGTTGTGAAGATCCTTGATGGCCTGCTTTGCACAGTCGATGCTCTTCATAGAAACAAATGCCATGCTGAAAATACAGATGTAAGTAAGTAATAATTACACAATCTTTCTCATGGGTTAACTGACCCGCCAGGTAAACAGACTCACAGAAAACAATCAAATCATTCTTCAGTGGATCCCGACTCACTGTGGCATACCAGGAAAAGAGTTACCAGACAGACCTGTAGAAAGAACAATTAAAGATTGTACAGTCCCAACAGTGTGCCTGTCAAACAGGACCACAAACACCTAAGCACATTATGCAGACCTGCCCACTCTCTACCTACAACTTCAAAAAGACACCTGGCCTCAAGAGCAGAGTGTGCAGAGCAAGCTATGAAGAACCATGAAGGACCTGCTACTGACATACAAGTTCATAGAGGCAACCCACCTGATGGTCTGATCTGAGCATACAAAACCGAACACAAAGAAGAAGAAGAACATCCACATGGAGTCAGATTTTTTCTAAAGATGACTTTTGCTGCCAGGTTGACCCAGTCTTAAATGGACACAGGTTAAGTCCTAGGAAATAAAGGTAGCTGGCGCAATGTTGACCACATCGCCCATCAAGAGTCTACTGATCTAGCCTTATATTTCCTGATGCGCCACTGGTGTGTAAAAGAACCTTTACTATTACATCGTTTAGGCTTATTAATGCATAGCACTCAAAGATACTGGAGTCAGAGAGCAGTGCTAGAATTTTTATTTGCTGCCCCCAGTGGTCACGCGTTTTAAATTTCCCTCTTCAGCATCTATGGTTTAAGAGTTATGAACATAATTCATAATTCTAAAATACCCAGTTTTGTTCAGCTGTAGGCAATTAAGCAGTAGACTGTTTAGTATTGATTTCAAACATGGTATGGAGCATAGACTATCAAGAAAGCAACATAAAACTAATTAACATAAAACTGCCCAGTAAAACCACAAACATCCAACAAATGTTGGTGTTCATTTCCAATGTCTTCTAACGGATATGCAACAGTTTTTTGTTTTTAATTTTGTAAAACTAATTCTCATTCTACTGTCCTTTATTTCCTCAATGGAGCAAAGACATTCAACCAACCCCTGACAAGTTTTCCAATTGTTTGTTATCATGTATATGACCTTCCCATTTTTTAAAATTAAAACTTTATTCTAATCTCTTCAAAGATGGCAGGTTTTTGTGGCCATAGTGTTTTCAGAATGAGGTAACCAACCCTGACAGGCCTGGCAGGGAGCAGTGCTACTATTCTTTTCTTCCCCAAAGAGCTCCACTAGTACATGGGTTTAATCTCCCTCATAATGATGATTCAAAAGAAAATAATATTTTACTAACTTAAGGTATGAAATGATTGAACAGAATTTCTCCATTATAACGGCCATTGAGTTAACTGTAAGTGTCAATTCCTCCCACCCAAAAATAAATGGCTGACACATTCCATTTCTGGGGACAACTTCTATAGCGTCTGGTCTCTAGATGGGTTGAGGTCCCGCGTGCAAACAAAATTCTGTCTTCCTGGATTTTGGACCGCCGTGATCAAAACTCTTGAGAGAACAGCAGGCTCGAGGCTGCAGTCATCATCCTGCCTCGACATAGCATAACCATAATACAGGCTGCCTCCACAGAAAAGACAATGCATCCTGCATTAGAAGCATGCATAAAATAGCACCCCATGACACCAGAACAGAATAATCCAAGAGAAATCGAGCCACCAAAAAAATAACCACTCGTTGCCATCTTGAAAGCAAAAGTCTTCCCTTATAATGATTATAAGACTTTTCATGTAAATATGTATGTTTTATTTTGAGTCTGCATGAAGAAGACATCTAATGTACATAATTACATGTTTGTGTAAGTTACTTACGTTTTTTCCTCTTTTATTTTCATATTCACATTCACCGGATCATAAGGCTTTATCAGTTCCCTGAAGGCATCCTTGAGAAAAAATAAAAAGAATGTTTTAATTCTGCATCCAATTAGATACAACACAATTAAATGGAAATTATACAACTTTTTAAAAACAATTAAACACAGTCAGCTTAACCCTAAGAATAAAGCATTAGGTATGCAAAAAAAAAAAAAACAACTGGTGGAATTTTCTTTTTTAAAAGTTTTTTTTAAATTTAATTCAGGTTCTTCACCTGGAGCAAACACTGGTGATCATGACTTCCCAATCCTGATTTCTGATGTTTTTAATGTTGCTGATCATGACTCCAATTCTGACAAATAATGTTTTTAATATTGCTGATCATGACTATCCAATCCTGATATGTGATGTTTTTAATGTTGCTGATCATGACTGTCCAATCCTGATATCTGATGTTTTTAATGTTGCTGATCATGACTCTCCAATCCTGATATCTATTGTTTTTAAAGACTCTCACACCTTTCTCTGTGAGGAATGAGACCGTTTTTTAACCCAAGTAATGTCTTGGAATATAATGTGCACTCTATTCACTAAGTCATATCTTCTACCATGCACCACTGTGTAGCCTAGATATTTCTTCTTCTACCTGCCATTGCAGTGGTTGTTGACTATACTGACAGGTAAGTTCTGATTGTGAACTCAGCCATTTATAAAGATATTCAAAGAGGTAACAGGTATAAACCAGAGACGCAAAGAATAGCAACCTTATAACCTATCAAAAACTGTGAACAATAAAGATAAAGGAGTTTTCACAGGAAGGTTCATGTAATAATGGCTACCTCTTCTCATTGAAAAGGCTATTAACAAAATTAAAAAAAAAATTTTTTTTTAAAAAGGGCTATCCTCCGAATAACGGGCACAAAAGATGGCAGCCACAAAAACACCCTAACAGAGCCTCAGTCATGTGTCAAGTGCGCACTTCTGGCAACTACCGTCACCGCCGAGAGTATCCCCCACGCCGCTCATGCAGCGTGGATTGGGGCTAAACTAGATGGCTGGGACTCACGAGAAGCAGCTTCCGCATCTCCTGCGGCTTTGCTCGTGAGTCCTAGCCCCAACCCACGTCGAGCGGCGCGGGGATACTCTCAGCGGTGGCAGTAGTCGCAGGAAAACCGCAAATTAGGTCACCTGAAGTGCACGATTGACACGCGAACGAGGCCCTGTTTTTGCCCGCTATTCGGAGGATAGCCAAAAAAACATTTGCTGCAAAGCCTAGAAATCATGAACAAGTCTTTAAATATTTGCTGCAACATCCTACCAACCATTAACAAGTCTTTAAACATTTTCTGCAATATCCAGCCAATCATGAACAAGTCTTTAAACATCCTAAAATAGTCCTTTAACATTTGCTGCAACATCCTACTAATTACGAACAAGCCTACAAAGGGCCTGGTGTGAGTTGTTGGTCCACTGCAAGACGAAAGGGAAGAAAAATGAAGATATGCACAGTTTTACAGATCACAAATGGGACATTTAGTGTAATTAAACTAGAAATATGTTTCAAGAAAACTCACCACAGATTCAATACTTCCAAAATATACTGTTTTTCTTGGCACTGAATGTTCTATTTAGATAGAGAACATGTAAAGACATTAGTTATATGATTTGCAGAAAACTTCCTGTGTGGGTTCCAGGGCCACACTGGGGGTGGTTGGGAAGAAGGGGTGATAGACTCACTGCCTCTTTACAAAGCATGCCATAAAAGCTGGCTAATTAGGGGTGTTTCTGTGAAGAGAGTGCATCTGCCTAAGAGATGAGGAACCAATAGTATACATACAAATAAGCCAGATATGTACAATGGATGAGCATGCAAAACTCAAGATCTGGAACAAAACCTAAGTTCAGAAATGGGCTAGCAACGAGAACTTTCCGCTGAAGTTTACAGCCAGTAAATGTGAAGAAGATATAAGAAAAACAGTAAAGATTGTGTGGTAGTTAAAAGAAAAATATTTTTGTGTGTCTATATGGCGAGAGCAAAAGACACAGATGAACAAGGGTGACCTGCAATTTAAAATATAATTATGCCAAGTTATTTTCATTATGTCTTTGACTTTTTTTTTACTTCTGCCAAATGTGAAAAGATAGGAAACTATTTCTTTCAGCCGACATGTAGACATGTAACAAAACACATTTGCTTATGCCAATTCAAAATCAAAACATGAAGTTTGTGTGTGTGTGTGTTGCCCTCAAATTTCAATTTGCTTTCTACTAAGACAAGTCCACATACAAAAATGGTAAACACGAACAGTGAAAAGAAGAAGTGACCAGTTTACCAAAGATGACATCTAATAGGAGCTGTGGTGGTACAGAGGCTATGCATGTGTCCACTGGCCAGAGGCTCTTGGGTTTAAATCTGCATCAGTGCAGATTTTTACAGCCAGGTCTCCCAGGTTGACCCTGCCTAAAATGGATAAGATTTTTTTCCTGGAAGTAAAAGTGGCCAGCATGATGTTGACCACTTCCAAGGTTCTAATTATCTATAACATAAATGGGTCTAGCACTATATGTCTATTGCATCCGTTTGTTTTTTCTTCTTCTGCATACGCTCTTAGAAGGCCAGTAGGCAAGCTGTATCATTGGTTTACAGCAAGGCTGCAATAACTGCACTTTTCATCCTAATACATCTGATTTCCCCAATTAACTGCCATTTTATGATATGCTTGTTGGGGGTTGGGGGGGGGGGGGGAGTCTTTTCTGTTTCTTCCACCACAACTGGGTTCTTGGATCCTGTTGGGCGAGGGGAGGGGGGGGGGGGGGGGGGGGGAAAGAGAAGCATCAGTGAAAAGAGTTTTTTTTTTTTAACTTACTACACAATCTCATCTTATAACAATAAAAATAAAAACAATACAAACCTAACACAATGACTCAAACATGTTTAAATAAACAGTCACGAACACCAAGGTCAAGTGAAAAGGAATAGGCACTCCAGCCCATTCTTCTTTCTCTCCCTCTTACATACCATATTCCTTACCCATATCTGTATGTGGCCGGTTGTATCTCCTCTCATCCTTATGTGAAAGAATGCTTGCAGAGTTGGACTCACTTTGGTTTTCCATTTCTGAGTGGTTTCCATTAAGTTTTAAATCTTTATAAAATTTTCCAAATAATTTCTCCAGCACGGTAGAGTCTTTATTTATTCCTGTATTTCTATCATCAACAGTGTTGCTAATTTCTGAGTGCAAACTTTTTATCTCCCCTTTCCGGTGGCTATCTGTGCCAATTCTGTTACCACTATTACTATTCCCTATTACTTTTTTCATTATTTCTTCTGCATCTCTTGGGTTCTTAAAATGATTACGGGCAAGACAAGCTTTAAGATCAGAAAAGGTTTTTACTGCCATCAAGGCCTCCTCTTTGCTCCCATATCGAACGAATGCTTGTCTGAAAAGAAGTACATACACAATGTATGATAAGTATTCAAAGCAAAATAAAAGAAACTAGAAAAATTTGTAATCACAGTTCTAACCTAAATATGTCAACTTTGAACGGCTTTTCAAAAGGTATTTTTGACATTTTCAAGTTGCTAGGCATATACAGTTCAAGCTGCAAGTACAATGTAGAGAAACACAGATTTATAGTGTGTTCTATTTATATTTTTGATTAGGTTACAGGGGGGACACTGTAGATGGGTTGATCATTTTAAGGTTAACAAAACTGAATGCATGGTTATTTTAAAGGAAGAAAAAAAAAAAAATTCCAATATGCTTTATGCATGGTAAAAGAATAACATTCTAACAACCATTTATTTATGTGTAGCAAATGTATTTATGGTGGGGGTTTCCATGATAAGCCATCTGCCTTGCACTCTTAAGGCCATGGGTTCGTTTCACGGCTGCACCGTTCAGTTCAAGAGTGCAACTGTTACAAGCTACAGAGTTTGCATTAGTGCAGATGGCTAGCTGTTCTGCGGAGAAGGACAGAGTCAAACAGGATAAAACCAGGTGGAATGAAGCTGACCCACTCGACTTTAACTGTAGCTACAGGGTAATATCAGATATACTGAGAAACAGAAATTAATTAAAATATTCAAACAGTCTTTTACATGAATGAGCAATGACAAGGGTATTAAATGAGAACAAGTTTGTAGAAATAAGATGTGCCAATCAGCTCCTACTGGGTTACTGGGTATGTTTAGATTGAGATAATGAAATGACTGAGCACAAATGAGTCAGGCTGATGTGCTGAGATGTTGATATGGACAAAAAGTAACAAGCAATGAAAAGCTGCTTACTAAAAGAATTTGGCCTGTCCTGTATGTATGTATAAATATAGTGGTCAGTAGGAAAATAAATAGTTAAGCAAATCAGGTAGTGGCTGTTTTTTGTTTTAAAGAAAAAAATGAGGTGAACAGCAGAAACAAATGTTGACATGTTCTGAGTTGCACTTATTAAAACTAGAGCTGTACCGAACATTCACTTTGTGGTCGAATAGGGGTCCTAATAACTATTCGGTATTCGGCGGAACACTTGCGGTCGAGCCGAATACGAATAGTGGTTACCTTACACCTGCTTCTGCATACAAGGCCTTAATGCTGAAAACATGGAACAATTGGTTTTTTTTAAAGCTAATGCAGCTTTCATGCATTAACTAAGCTGTCAGTGACAATTTACAAGTTTAGTTACTTGTTATAATACTTAGAATATTTTCATTCCTAGTTATTAGTTACCAGACTGACTGAAGGATGCAAAACATAAAATGTTTTTAAATGTTTACTACATTCTGTGAAGTAAAGGTTCAGCATACATTTGAAATTATGAATGTTTTTTAAATTTATTTTATACGCTATACACTTCGTATTCGGCCAAAAAGTTAGTCCTGTTATTCATTTTCGGCCGAATAGTGATAATCACCTATCCGGTACAGCTCTAATTAAAACAACTAGGAAAAGACAGCTATGGAGAGGTAAGGTAAGTAACAAAAGAGAAAGAGAGTGAAAGGGGAAGGAGAGGAGAGAGAAAGAAGAAAGAAATAAGTGAATGGAGAGGGAGGGAGGGAAATAGATCAGAAATGGCAAGGGACGGAGAGAAGAGAGGAAGGAAATAGATTAGAGATGGCAAGATAGGGAGAGAGGAAGGAGAAGAATAGTGAGGGCATAGGAAAAGAAAAGGAAGGATAGAATGAAAAAAGACTCAAGAAGAGAGGAAAGACAGTAGGCGGTGGTATAGAGAAGAGAGAAGATAAGAGGACAAGAGAGAGCCATACACATAACATTTTCTAACTGAAATACACAAATCATAAAGACTGAGATTGTGCCCTACAAGTTATCTAACATTCAGTGAACAGGCATTTACTAAAATTAGCAGAAGCAGTGGCAATCAGGACATACAATCCCAAATTATGCAAATAAAAGGATTAAGTAGTTAATGTTAACTCCCATGGTAAGATGCATATGTAATAAGATACAATATGATTTGTCTATTTCAGGTAAATAATGTGTGCGTGTTTATGCAAGGTGTATGTGTACACACATAAAACGAACAAACAAACTTTATTTTCAAAGGGTCAAAAATTAGGCAAGCAGGCTTGTCTTACATTCGGCCCTTCCAAACTCCCATCTTTCACACAGCAGTTGTATTTCATCAATAAAGCATTATGTTATGTTCATGTAATAATATGCATAATATGAATAGCACGTAAAAAAAAAAAATATGTGCGCATGATCGTGCGCGAACACACACACCCACATAACCATTCACACACACACAGGCATCCAATACACACATTCATCCACATACATACACACATACAGTCACCCAAACAGACATACGCTCTAAAACACACACGCACACATCCCAAACACATACAGACACACACAGCTATACACACAAAACGACACCTACAAACACACATTGATGCACACAGACATAAACACACACATGCAGCCACAGGCACACACACAAACACACACACAGGCAGGCAAACACACAGACACACACATAGACATACGCAACACTCACACATACACACACACACAAAGTCACACACGCAGACACACATACGCACACAGGACAGCTAGAGAAGGAAGACAAAAAAATAATAATTAAACAGCAAAATGCAATATAAATCAAAGTACCTTTCAATAAAGTTTGCCTTTTTAACATCACCAGCTTGTCTAAACAGAGCTATCAAGTCCTGAAATTAAATGTTCATAAAAATCAGTAAAACAAACCGCAAACAATAATTGTATAATAAACAGATATGCCAAGAATTGTTGTTTCTCTCTGTCTGCAATATTAATACTGATGAAGAAAAACAAACTACTGTACAATAATACCCCTGCTAATAAAGTGTCACTGTTTCAGATTTTTTTTTTTTTTTAAATTAGCCATCCATCCAGTCTTCCTGAGTCAAGAATTGACTGACATCACAGGATTCGGAGTATCTCATATGTGTTCCACTCCCATCTTCAGCAACCAGTGCAGAGTTCTAATACTAATGGTAACGGACTAGTCTGTTTATATGTCCGTCTTGGCTTTCCTATGAGTGTGGTGAGCCAGCCAGACCCTCTGGTGACACCCAGGTGCATCATTCTCTCCAGGCCACAATAACCTGGTTTCTCTTCTGCTTCCTTACTTGTTCCCTAGGGACTTTAAACACATCTGCCTTGTCATGTATAAATTCACCACACAGTGGTGCAGATCTAGCCAATCTGTCTGCCTGTTCATTCCCCACCACTCTGGCAAAGTATGCTCTCTACCCGAGACCTTCCAAGTGAAGCCTGTCCTTTGGGAAATTACTAAAGAACTGGTGAAAGTTACTGCAACTAGAAACTTGTATGCAACTAGTCTTCTTATCTGTTCTTCACCCACTACTGCTTCAAGTTCGCTTTGGTCTCCTACCAAACATTATATATTTCCCCTTGATTTTCTACAGACTTTACTGTCTGAATTATTCTTTTTTTTTTGGTGTTCCCTTTAAAAGGGTTAGCTGTGTTTTGGTTTACAGCTGGGCTGTGATGTCTTTAATTTTTGGTCAAACATTCGGCAAACTTTAATTAGTCGCTTTTAAGACATGCAGTGGGCCATTTTTTTTAAATCCCCCCCCCCCCCCCAGAACTGCATAATTTTTTGAGAATCAAACCCCAAATCCCCCCCCCCCCCTTATAACAGCTATACTGGGGCAATACAAAAATGGTTACGAAGTACCCCCCGTCCGGCGTGGGTGGGTCTTGACCACAGAACTGCATAACTTTCCCATTTAAAACGATATGAGACAGATAATCAAACAGATGCAAATCTTTGAGACCCCGTTCAACAGTATAGCCTTATAACAGTTCTTACTGGGGCAATACAAAATGGTTACGAAGTACCCCCAGTCCGGCGTGGGTGGGTCTTGATGGCACAGGGTCTGTTCTAACTTTTCCCCAAAATAGGTCCCCAGAAACGATATGAGACAGATAATCTGTTAATTTAGCAGCAAACATCAAACTTACCCAGTGAAAATCAAAACTATAATCTAGGCAGTAAGTAAGGCTGTTACTAAGCATATGTTACAGAATGCTAATAACTTTCACTCATTTTGTTTCTTATTCTTCTTTCAGCCCAGGTGGGTTTTTTTCTGCTGCTTCTTCTTGTTTGTTGTTCGGCCATCAAAAGTGATGATAACCACCACTTTCTTTCATCCATCATGGGGACCTTTCATTTAAAAGATTTGGCTTATCTGTGTGCAGACTGGTGGTTCCTCACCTCAGGCAGACGCATCGACTTTGAAGGAAACAGCCTAATAAGCAGAGCTGTACCGAACATTCGCTTCAGGGCCGAATAATGGACCTAACAACAATTCGGTATTCGGCCGAATACTTGCGGTCGGGTCGAATATGAATAATGGTTATCTTACACCCGCTTTTGCATTCACTGCCTTAATGCTGACAACATGGAACGATTGATTTTGTTGCATTAACTAAGCTGTCAGTGACAATTTACAAGTTTAGTTACCTGTTATAATACTTAAAATACAATCAATCGCAGATTATTAGTAACCACAGACTGACTGAATGATGCAAATAATAAAATGTTTTTAATTGCTTACTATTCTGTACTACATTTTGAGAAGTAAAAGTTCAGCACACATTTGACATTGTGAATGTTTTTTGGATCTATTTTATACACTATACACTATCCATATTCAGCCGAATAGTTGGTCCTGTTATTCGTATTCGGCCAAAAAGTGATAATCACCTATATGGTACAGCTCTACTATTAGGTCACATTTTATGATATGCTTGTTATGGGGCAGTGGGTCTATTCTCCCCCCCCCCCCCCCCCCCCCCCCCCAAAGGGTGCAGCAGAACTGAAAAGGGGAGTGTGGTGTTTAATACAGTCTGTCTTCATACCAAATTATTTACTATCTTTGCCTCTCTTCGCATATATTTTTCTATATACTTCAGTTTTTCTCCTTTCCCTTTTTGTTGAAGATAACCAGTTCGCTCTGTGAGTTACTGTTCACTGCATTTTTGTCGCGTTTAAAAAAAAAACATCTGCTAATTGCCCTGAACCCCATCCACCCACTTATCATTGATTCATACATCCTGATTGGCTGTATATGTTCTCATTATTATTTTCGCCAGAGTTTACAGCTCGTTAAAGCTAAGAAGAAAAAGATATAAGAACTGTCTGTGTTTAAAAAAAAAGGGCAAGAACATTATTGTGACCTTTGGTAACACCAACAAACATATGGTGAGCTATCTGGTATTGAAACAGCTAATGTTCAAAACTAGTTACTTAACTCTGCTGCTGCTAATAAGAAAAACATGCATGAGATTCGATATAACAAATAACTTCCTAATGGTGACAGGATAGACATTTACATACATACTTTTGGATCTTTATCTTTCCAAACATGTAAAGGCACGCAGACTGACCAAAAGCCCCATTGATCTGGTACCAAATCATCATCATCTGTTTCAACTTCATCTCTCACTAAATCTGGCATACCTGTTGAATAAAAATAATATGTGTCTATACAAAGTTTTTTTTTTAAAAACCCCAAAATGCCTGGAAAAAGCTGATGAAAGCAAAACATTACACAAAGAGTTTATTCTTTTTAGGAAAAAGGTGCAGGTACTCATCTAAAATGTCTAAAAAGGTGCTTGAAATTACAACAGCACTAAAAATGATGCTTACAAACATTGTGCTGGTATTGCGTACTATCAGGGAAAAAAGTCCTGATTTTATGTAACTTAGAAAAATACATGTTATGAGAAGTGAGACCACTTCAGAAATGTGAGAAATGGAAATATCAACTGAAAAACAGACAGTGTGGCTCTGCTAAGAGGTATGGGAATGTGTTTAACAATTTCATGATCCTTGAGCGCCAGGGTTTAACTTTCAAGGTGTGGACTGGTTTTTAAAAAAAACGGTTCTTGGGGTTTTCAGACAGCAGCATGAGAGTTCCACCATGGAAGCGATTGTGGCATCACTACATAATATTCCCAAAGACACTGTAGCCAACCTTCAATGTGAAGATGACACAGGCATTTTTTTTTTCAAGAAGAGACAGAAATTGAAATAGTCTCTACTCTTCTTCTTCTTAGTGTCACTGGCTGTAAACTCTGGTGGAAAGCAATGGTTGTTCATCCACTTCTGGACTTTAGTCTTGTTCCAGAATCTGAGTTTCGTGTGTATATTGCAAATCCATTTTTACAGATCAGGCTTATTTTTATGCAGACTGTGCCCCCTCACTAAATGGGACCCCGGAACCCACAAGGGGAGATGAAATAGTGAAGAAACTGACAAGAAATTATGATGTATGGTCTAAGACAGTGGTTCTCAACCGTCCTAATGCTGCGACCCTTTCTTACAGCTTGTCAAGCTGTGGCGACCCTTTTATACAGCTCTTCATGTAGTGGTGACTCCCAAACATACTATTATTCCATTACTACTTCATAACCTTAATGAATATGTTTTCCTATGGTCTTTGGCGACCCCTGTGAAAGGGTACTTCAACCCAAAAAAGGGTTGAGAACCTGTTGGTCTAAGATGTTGGCATGGAGGAATGCTGTCAAGGAAACTTGAATCTGAAATGCCAATAATTATTTCTTCTACTTGTGTACTGTAATTCAGCAGTAAACTCTGCAGAAAAACCTGGCTGATCATCATGTCTGGATTTTGATCTTGTTCCCAGACTTGGGTGTTGTGTGTACATCCATTTTACAGATCTGGCTTACTCTGTGTGCTGGCTGCTGGTTCCTTATTGCAATGACTTGAACTGAGATGTAACAGTAGAGGGAATCCTGACATACATAAATAACGAACAACAGGCAGGTCATAGATTACCACTGGTCGAGACAAGGGGAACCCAACATGACATTATGAAGACTAAGAGGGATTTCCAAGTGATGAGTAGTGAATGTTTGATAAAAGTGGGAAAAACAGGAATGTGTGGGGATGTGAGTAAGGTCAACGGAAAGTCTGGTGTATGCATGCAAGGAAAATATAAATGAATGTGAGGGCAAGACTTGGGTGCTGGAGATGGCTTTGAGGGGTTAATCGAAAGGGTGTGGGCCAAGACTGAATTGGAACAAATACAACAATATGTATTCATTTGATGAAAGTTTTTGTTTTGTTCGACATGGCAGTTGTGGTAGCTGCATTCTTCTTCTTCTTCTTGATCACCGGCTGTAAACTCTGGCGGAAAGTTCTGGTTGTTCGTCCACTTCTGGACTGCAGTCCTGTTCCAAAACCTGAGTGTTGCGTGTGCATCCGTTTGATAGATCGGCATGCAGACTGTTGGTTCCTTGCCTCTCAGGCAGATGCACTCCGACTTTGAATGAAGCTCCCAAATAGTCGACTCTTACGACATGCTTTTGGGTAGGCAGTGGGTCTATTCTTGTTTTTCCCATAGTAGGGCCCCGGAACTCACATGGAAAGGTAGCTGCATTGAGCCAAGTGGTACAGGAGTAAGCATGGAGGCAAATGTGTGTTAGACAAGATGGTCCTTGATGGTAAGCAGTTTAGTCAAGCTAACAGCCAGTGTGGCAGCAGGCAAACACCCTAAAGTCATCCCATGATGTAAGATCAGAGACCAAGGACAGGCAGACAATACACATCATGGAATCTGAAAAAAAAAACGGTTAACTGGAACAGTTGACTTCTTTTTGTAGAAAATTTGGCATTTCAAGAGTGCTACACGTGTCAGCCTCTGAGACACAGTCACAAATTTGTGTAATTTAAAATCAGTACACCCACACTGCAGGTAGATATACTCAAACTTAAAAGGAAACCAAAGTCTAAGATCTGGGGTGATGTGAAGGCCTATGCTATCTGGCAAGGCAAATGGTGATGATGTACACATCTATTATTTACAAATATGGGTTGATAGGAAAACAGAAACGACTTGGATTTATATCACTGAAATGATTCTAGAACCAGCCTTGCATAAGATGGCAAAAAAGCGATAGAACAGCAAGATTACACTACAAAGATGTGAAACCATTATCCATATGGATGTGGGAAGACCACAAGATACTAAATAAATGCAACAGACAGATTAAACAACATAATTAACAAATTTATTTAAGTAACTTTCTGCTCAATGTGTAAAAAAAAAAAAAAAATTATAACATACCATTCACATCAGTATCATATTCTAGCAGGGAAGACTTAGAAACACATTTTTTCAAATTGCCTTGATCCACTCTGGGTTTAGAATTATCATTTCCACTCAGCTTCAGTTCTCCGGCTTCAAAGACCCTAATCTGAGAATCTTCAGCTGTCACGACCCTGAAATTAAAATACCTAGGAGATGTAGACTCTTTTACATACACCTTTGCATAAACACATACAATTTTCAAAAATTCAACAATAGAAGAAGATAACGTATTTGAAAGAAATGAAATACTACAGCAGAACAATAAATAAGAGAATTCTCCAACAATTTATTTTTTGTTTCCCAAAGCTGGATCAGCTCACCAGATCATTGAAAAATCACATGAGTCTAAAATTTATTATGAATCATAATGAAAGCGCTCATAAACATCACAAAAATGACAGTTCAGATAGCATACTTCACCAAGCAGAACAGAATATAAAAACAGAGCAGGGTGAAGGGTTATCAAAAGATTTGTCTCCTCTGGATGGCTACCCATATGGTTTACCACCCTGAGAGTTGAAAAAATCTCAACCTGGATGGCAGACCAGCAGAGAAGATCCCAGACACCCTGTTCAACCTTGAAAGAAGTTATAATTAGGGCACCTATAACGACAAAAACAACAGCCTGGTGTAACCTGTGTTCCAGTGCGGGTAAGGACACAGGGTGCTAAAGTAGTTTAGGGATATGGTACCACCCTTCTGAAATGTAAAGGACCCTTTTCACACCAGCAGTGTACTCAGCAAAAATGACTTTGGCTCCCAGGTCGACCCAGCCTTGAGTGTACCCGGGTACCCCATCTTGGTATTAAAATAAAGGTCTGAGCGCGGAAGTAACCGTGGAAAAGGGATCCTTCTTCCACTCAGCATTTATTCAGATCAGAAACCGGGGTTTACAACTCATGGTCAACATCTGTCCCAGGATACTTTCTGTAAAAAAAATCGGAAGATTTACCTGAGATCAGATGTATAAGAAATGTGGCGGGGAAAAACAAGAAGGGGCAGTCACCAATGAAGGACTACGAACAACGGTAGACACATTACCGGTGAATGATTTCATAGAACACCCAAGAATCAAATGGTTTGGTGATCTGGTCAGAATGGAAAAAACCAATCAACAGCTAGAGAGTACTACATGAGAACTGAACAGGCTACATGGCGAGGCTGACCAAGAAAGATAAGGATGGAGGGATTAAAAGATAATATACAGAAACGCAAGAATGCAGATTCGATTGCAAGACCTTTGGGCTGACGGACAAGAGCGTACCACCTAACCGAGTTTATTCATCCATGAAAGATTAAAGTCTGACTGATTACGAAATATAATAAAAGCTTTAAAATAAACATTATAGTTCAGACAAAACACTTATCATCTGCAGCTAATCTATGATTATAATTTCCTATCTTGAGATCACATATAGTACAAACTGGCATAACAGACGTCAATATATCTTAAGGCAGAATAACAGATTACTTTAAATATTCTCAACCATAGACTGCACAATATGATTATGATATTTACTTAAAAATCACTCATTTAGATTAAACTTAACAATCTATACTTAGTTAATACATAATTTAAAATCTATATATATATATACATATAAATATATATATTTTAAATTATGTATTAACTAAGTATAGATATATATATATATCCCAAAAGGGTTAAAAAGAATGTATTTATTTATATTACTACTATTACTAATGCAACACTGCACTAATGAATGAGAGAGAACCTCAGTCTGACAAAATGTCCCTTATCTCTGAGTCCCAAAGAACGCATCATATGTTCATGGGTTCCTACCTAGAAGCCTATAGAACACCAGATGCACCGAGTTTACATCTCTCTTACTACAGCTTGGGACTCTGATGATAAATCCCACTGGATTCAAAGAGTTAAATAACAGAGATTTTAAAATGTCAATAAATATTGTGGGGAAACAAATTCTTAAAATTTACACACAGAAAACAGATAAAGTAGTTACTTTACATCAATCTTATCACATAATAATGACAATATTCATAAGAATAATTTTTTTCCAGCTTTACCTCTTATGCAATAATGGGTATGAATTATATTGCACAATAATTTACTTCTGTTATATTCACCCTTAAAAATTGTGACCCACATGCTATGTTGTGATTTACAGCTAAGCTGTGAATCTATGCCTTTCAAACCAACCCATTTGACGCCAGCAAAACCCCCAATCAGTTTTCTTTAACAAGATCCTTGTTAAGGGGCGGTGGGTCACCCTTCAAACTGGGGTCTCGAAAATCACATTGGGGTAATAAATTACACCACAAAGACATTGCTGTAGAAATCAGCAAAAATCAGTGTAAAAGCATTTACAGTATTTCTGCATACTTCTTTATTTAAATAAATCAAACATCACTGACAAGGGAAGGCAGCTAAGCAGTTCAAAGGCATAGTCATTAGGCACCCAGCACAGACGGAAGTTTTTTCCTGAAAGGAAATGCTATGGGGTCAATCCATCATCATTAGGTGTCTTGCAGACTGGCTTGGGCGATCATGCCTCTCCATAGTCTGCGATTTCCCGCAGCATGTATAAGTTTGTGTGCTGACACACCTCCATGCCATGCAACAAGACTGTCAAGAATCTTCTCTTATTGAACCCATAGCTCCTAACAATTATCACCCCACTAGGGGTGGTGGGTAGAACTGCCTCCTTAACAAGCCTGTCACATGAGTCAACTAATTAGGGATTTCCTTTGAAGTCGGTGCATCTGCCTGAGAGGCAAGGAACCAACAGTCTGCATATAGATAAGCCAGACCTGAAAATTTGATTTACATGCAAAACTCAAGTTCTGGATCAAGACTAATGTCCATAAGTGGAAGAACAACCAGAACCTTCCGGTGGAGTTTACCGGCTGGTGAACGTGAAGAAGATTACCAGAAAATTTTTTTCTGAATTTTTAATCGTTTGGGAAGGAAAAGAGAAAGGGAAAGGAAGTGGCCAACACATTCTGCACACAGCAGCCAATAATACATGCAGGCATAGCATTTCACAGTGCACACAGCAATCAGTCCTACCAGTTCTCTTTTAACACAGATTACTGAGCAGTGTATACCAAACCTGACATCTCACATTGTGCCAATGGCTTTGAAGGAATGCATTGGGGATGATATTAATCTTATGCTAGAAAAACCAAATGCCACCTAAAAACCTAATGCTATGTCCAGGCTTTGTGCTATGGAGAGGAGGAACTTCATCACTGACTTTCATTCTTACATCAATGGCCTTCATTTTGAAAACAAGTGGGTCTAGTTAGGCACACTAACCATCACCATAGGTTGTAATTTCCATGCCATCTTACAGCACAACATTACACTACCGCTTGGAAATAATGGAAAGGTGCCAACAGCACTTCATACTCCAACCAATGGCAGCAACTATCTTTATAGAATATTATTTTCATAATGATGATAGAGAATATGATATCTGAATGGTAGAAACAAAATAAATACCTTGCTACATCTGATATGGACATCATAAACTCTTGCACTGAAGAGAATCCAAAGTCTCTAAATCTGAGAGGCTCCCTATGTTCAGTACGGTAGTCACTAAGAAATTCCGGCAAGGTAATTCCTCGGTTTTTAGAAAAAAGAACAGTCCTAATATTATTTTTTATGGATTCAGGTATTTTGTTCGACATACTGAGGAAGAGGGGTGACTTTTGTAAACACTTCTGCTGTGGTTATATCAGTATAATTTTGTCATTGGAACTGAAGCAGAATCCCAGCACTAACACAGAACTGTAGTAACTGTAATCATCACTTGTTAAAATCAGCACCTGAAATAAAAATTATAACTGCTTTTAAAAAATGTGTCTGCCAGAAAGTGTGGAACAAAATTAACACAAAAGCTATCTGCTGACATCTCATCATGTGCCTTGCAGATGGCCTCAGTAATTATGTCTCTCCGCAGGTCTTAGTTTTGAATTAATTAAATGTCCTTTTAAAAAGAAGAATCATGCTGTGACATCACAAGCTGAAATAACAGTTTATCCTCTTGTATTTCCACCTTTAGAATGGTACAGCGTTCCAATGAGTCAAAGAGCTATATTTCACTAGTAGCTTAGGTACTGTAGACTGTAGGACTCACGTTGAACAGGTAAAAGGGATATGAACGAGATAAAGTGAAACCAAATACCTGCTGCCTTGTTGTTGTAGGTATTAAACATGATCAACAAACTGTAATGAGTCTGTGACTGTGTGTCTCTACTGACATTCTACTCATCTACTGCAGTACCAATCAGTGAATTACAAGTTAACTAACAAAAGTGCTTGAGTGATTGTCAAAAACTGCAAGTAGGGAGCCGCAAGCTTGACAAAATGTGCATTAGCATGACCATAAATTGTAAACTACTAATCATTTTTTTTTTAAATGAAAATAATAGTGTCTAGTACTTAATAAATTCGGCTATCCACCAAATAACGGACACATATTATGGCGGCCGCAAAAAAACCCTAACAGAGCCTCAGTCACGTGTCACTTGGGCACTTCCGGCAAACTTACAGAGACTACCGCCACCGCCGAGAGTATCCTCCACAATGCGTGAGCGGCGTGGATTGGGGCTAAACTAGATGGCTGGGACTCACGAGCAGCTGCTTCTGCATCTCTGCATATTTTGTGCCCGTTATTCGAAGGATAGCCCTAAATTAAATTTGAACAAAAATTAGGTGGAAGGAATGGTATGTGGTACTGTGTCATCTTCTACGACTTTTGCATTACTTATTCATCGCCATGGACTTCAAAAGAACATATATTTATTTCTACTTAATTTCTGCATTTGTTTGCCACACTGAATTTTTTTGTCAGCAAACTTCAAAAATAAGTAATTACATTTAACAACATGCTTGTTAATCTAATCTTGTTTTTGTTAGGGGTCAGTTGATCTAATCTTTTATCACCTAAAAAAATTGGGGCTCTGAACCTGTTTTATTTTTTCATAAATTCAGCAGGTCCTTATTTTGTTAAAAAACAAAATGTGCCGCTGACCACAAAGTTAAAGTGTATAACTGACTAGAAGACTATATTAACTCCGGCTTGATGGTTGGATTCTTAATTACCCAGTATTTGGCACTCCTTGTAGTTGCGACCCAAGAGGGACTTAATCAGTGGTTGTTTATGGGGATTGCAAGGAAGACAATCCATTGTTTGTATACTTAGCCCAGCTCCACGTCACGGCGCGAGTAGCGTAGCGGCGTGGGAGATACACTCGGTGGTGGCGGTATAGTCCCCGTAAGATCGCAATTCGGCGGTGGCGGTATAGTCCCCGGAAGTCCGCACTGACTGAGGCCCTGTTGGGGTTTATTTTCGGTCTCGATAATTTGTGACCGTATAAGGAAGATAGCCGAATATTTTAATTTAACTTGAAGTACCTCTAATAGTAATAACAAAAAATAATAGTGTACTGTTACCTGTAATCCAAGCGATTAGATTCAGGATTTGCTATAATGTTTGTTTACTGTTACATTTAGTGGGTTTTTAAACAATAAAAACTTGACCGTCATCCGCAAAATTCTACTAGACTACTACTACTACTTCAACGATGAGATGAAAGGATTATGGAGTGGTGAGGCTGTGGTGTGTGTGACACAGAAGTGAGACACACACTGTGTGTCGATTTAATTTTCTAATTCTAATCTTAATTTAACTAAATGCGGAGATATTAAATAATGCATATACTAATTAGATGCATCAAGTGCTATAAGTTATTCTGTACTACTTAAATCTACAATTCCATGTTTATTTAGGAAACGGTTTATATATCAAAACACACTTACGCGGTATTTTCTAGAATTCTACAAAAAACGGTATCCAATGATAAACAAACGACTACTTTGGCAGACTTCAGCTACACGCGGATTCGTCTCGTCGTTGTATCACATTTTTAGTGTGCTCACATTCCTGTACAACTTTCCACACGTATTATTCTGCTTCCTTTTGATTAACTAAAAGTATTAATATGAATTAGCAGTTTACATGAGAATAGTCAATATAGTAACAACTATACGAAAAATACAAATTCATTATACATGCAGCAAAAATATATGAGCTATGTTTTAATCACCAGATTACGAGCTGAATTATTAATTATATACTTTCCTAATAACAGCAGAAGAATCTAAACAGAATAATTAATATTATTTGAAATGATAACATTATAAATAATGAAAGAAATTATATGATACATAAACAATAGAAGTATAATCTACACATGATATGATTTCTTTGAATTAAATAATATAAAGAACAAACAAAATATATATTTGTGTATTTTTTTGCTCATACAGAAGGCATCACATATAGTCTCCTTGTTCGCATTCACCGGCTGTAAACTCGGGCGGAAAGTTCTGGTTGTTCAGCCACCTCTGGACTTGCTACAAAACCTGTTTAGCCACCTCTGGACTTAAGTGGTGTTCCAGAAGCTGAGTGTTGCTTGCACATACGTTTTACAGATGTGACTTTGTATGCAGACTGTTGGCTTCTTGCCTCTTAGGAAGATGCACTCCAACTTCGAAAGAAACACCCAATTAGTCGACTGTTACGGTATACTTTTTGGAAAGGCGGTGGGTCTCTTCTTTTTTTCCCCTACGATAGGGCTCCGGAACCCCCACGGGGAGTTTTGAATGTTGAATTAGGAATCGACATCACACCACTCAGGACACTTCCATAACTGCTCAGTCCCCATCTTCGATACCAGTATTCGTCTGATTGTACATCCGTCTCATCCTTCCCCTGAGTGTTGAGCGTCAGTCAGATCCCCTGGTAACTCGTCTGCCGCGGCCGCACTGTTCACTCGCTCCCAAAGGGCCCTCACAGTGTCTAACTTGTCATACATCAATTCACTACCAAGTGGTGCGGAGCCAGTCTATCTGCCTGCTCATTTCCCAACACACCGGCATGACTAACTGCCCGGGATCTCTGAAGTGATGCTTGCCACTCTGCATAGTCAGTTTTAATCCGGCATGTGTGTACAGCTGATTCTCAAGCTAGCGGAAGGCAGCAGAAACTGCCTCCATCTCCATTCTCAAACTAGACGTTTTGAATTATACATTGGAACTAGTATCAAATTAAAAGCCATTCATTCACTTCTGTTTAGTTCCAGCTGATGTCTGTAACAAGGTTATTCAGTCCAGAAATGCAACCTTGGATTTTAAATTGTTTAATTTAAAAAGCTTGATTTTAGAACTGACAAATCTTACGAATATCGCATCGGCATGGGCATACACAGCACAAAAAGAGGGGGGGGGGGAGGTGTCAATTAAAAAGGGATAGCGGCGCTTACCAGACAAACACGTCAAGCATGACCGTAGAGATAACTGCTATTTTCAGAGAACTCGCGTGGTTTGCAGAACAGGCGGCTACACATGCGGTAATCGTTCCAAACTCCACGAACATGCTTCATAAAATCACAACATGTAATCTACGCTTCAAATGGGTACAACTCATTCGAAGTCGACTTTAACCTCCTTCATTTGGATGTACACCCCTGGGTACTTCGGAGTAAATTGTAATGAAAGAGCTGACCAGTTAAAAAGTAATGCACCAATGCAAACGGGAAGATGCATGAACAGAACTGATATCATCATTGCTGTACAGACTGGATTGAGGGATAACATCGAGGTAAAGATAGGATATACTATTAGTAAATCCTCATGAGAACAATCAGTATAGATACCTTGGTGTGGCTGCTTTATCTGAGGACCGAGCACGCATGGAAATGTCCAATGTGCACAGACGTCGATTCTGATAACATAACACAACATAGCAAGATATACATAACCAGTCGCACCATGCGGCATTTTAAAGAGTGGGGGGGGGGGGTTTGGCAACGAAATTTAAAAACCAAATTACAACGTTTGATCTGACAGCGCGAAGGTATTAAAGGCGGCATTTTCGAAGACTTGCATTATGCTGAGACAATTTACTGCCCTTCTGTGCACGAAAAGTGATATCTAGACCAGCGCTTCTCAAACTGTTTCGCTGCAGCACCCTTTTTTTTAAGGAAAAGAAGAAAAACAATGAAAATTTGATGCTCAGTTGTTTGTATCTGTGCTGCAGCATCCCATTTAAGAAACGCCGATATGACTTACTAACTTCAAGCCAATAATAAATCAATTATGTGAGGGGGGAAAATGCCGCAAATGTTATAATAAGAAGTTGGTAGATAATTTCATTCTGTGCAATCTCACCTGTGTATATTTTTTAATACCGCTTTGTTGAAGTGCCAATAAGATAAATATATGTTCAATATCATTATCGCAAATTTACATTTAATTCCTGTGATAAGTTGTCGTAGGAGCCTCAGCACAGGGATTTTCCCAGGGGTCCATAAAGCTGTTAAGACGGCACTAACGGAAAATGGGGGAAAATGGGGGGGGGGGGATCATCAGCCATTTCCAGGGGTGGGAGCTCTTGATGCTTGTCTTGTTTAAATAAAGTTAGTTGCGTATCCTTTACATGCCGATGCAGAACAGGTCCCAGCATTTGTTTGCTGTTGTGGTTTTCTAGCCACATTTACGTCTAGTAGCTATTACTTTCTGTACGGTCCGCTTCTTGATACCACTGTCGAAACCAAAGCAAGGCGCAAGGCCCGCAGCTGGCACCCCGGCATTACGAAGGGTGTTCGCAACGCCTAAGTCACAG